TTATTAGAATATATTTTTATATTGCTTCATTTATTTATCTTCTATCGTAAGAATAAATTATTTATTGGAGCTTAGCTAATAAGTTAAAGCTAAATTCTCTATAATTAGGTATTTAATATATTTTTAGATAAAAAATCACATCATATGACAATATGTAAAGTCAAAATTGTATCTATGAAGCTTCTAAAAAGCTTTTCTAGAAGATATTATGAATTTAATGTACTTTTACCTACTTCTATCTAATCACATAGGTAATTATTGGAGTAAATATGTATGTACGTGACACTTATATTTGTTTAATGGAAACCTATGTTATTAGGCACTACAATCGTTGGCACATCTATCAATTTTCTTATTCATCCATGCTTCTTTGAAACCTTTTTCCTTGCTTCACTTATTATCATATTCTTTCATTTGCATGTTTTTCAAATTCCTAGCATTTTCTTTATGAAAGTCAGATAAAAGACTTCTTTGTCTCTTTGTGTTGTATCCAAGCTATCTTATATAATAGATATATAATCAAGTCTCTTTTACTTTTCTAATTTCATTTATGTCTTGACCTTCAAATTAATCCTTCATCTTATTATTTTTCTTTTCAAGCCATTGATTTGACTAATCATCTTTAATCTTACTTGTCATTTATACCAAATTAACAAAAAAAAAATTTTGCATCAAATTTTTATAAATCTTTGTGTCATAACCTAAAATGTGTATAATAATCTATTTAATATTTATGATCATAGTTACAATTTATAATAATATATAAATTTGATTATTAAATTCTATATAAAAAAATATTAGACATAAATTGGCACATAGTCATTAATTCATCAGATATTCAATTAATTCCAGATATCAATTAGAAGAATAAAAAAAATTACTTTTAAAAAAATATGATTTTATATAATAAACCACCATGAAACTAAATTTGATAACTTCAAAAGAAGAACTATTTTCTTAATGAGCTTATTTTACAATTGTTTAAATGATATAGGTTGTATTTTCTAACTATATTGTATATAACAAAGACTTTTACAAAATAGTAGTAGTACAAGTTTCTCTAATTAGAATTAATATGAGTCTCTTTTGTAAGTTTTTTTTTTCTTGAAAATATAATTAGATATGAGATCTAATTTGAAACAATTTATATAGATTTGAAAGATGTATGCCAAAAAATTCTTATGCATCCTAGTGTTTTTCTTTTACAACAACATTTTAAAGTATGTATATGTATATGTATATTTATATCAAATTGATGCTTTTAAAATAAAAAATAGAATTATTTAATAGATTTGACAAAATATTTGGAGATAAAAATGTGCTTTTGTATAAATGTTATACTAATGCTTCAAAAACAGTAAGCCAAAAACAGGAATAATAAAACATGTACAAAGTTATCCTCCTTTGATATCATATGAGAAATCTTCATACTATGTCACCACTTTTTATTTACATGTATAGTAGCATTGGATGCCATTGCTTTGGAAGTTATAACATCTCACAAAAAACTATTAACATATAATGATATAAAATATGATGATTAATTAAAATTTTAAAAATAATTATATATAAATGGTATAAAAAAAAGACAAAAACATAACAAAGAAATTTACAATATCAATAGAAAACTTGGTCATTAATATCTTCTTTATGAATTTTATTGAAACTATAAAAGGCAATAAAAAAGGGTTTCAAATAAAGAAAAAGTAAATAACTTAAAGTATATATTTTTTTTAAAAATGTAATTTTTTTGTGGAATTCCAAGAAGTAAGTATAATTCATTAAAAAAATCATGATACTCAGCAACATTCTATTTTCATAGTATTGAAAAGTAAGACAATTAAGAATTGTCGCACCTTACCAGATAAATATGGAAACAAATAGTTTACATCTTAAAATAATATTAAAAAAAAAGAGTAGCAAGGAGATATTACTCTTGTGTTAGCCGGACATCATTCATTATTTTTAGTATAAGTAGAAAATCTTCCATCTTCATGTAAAGACCATGTTCAAGAAAATCCCACATTCTTGCAATAAAATGCTATCACAAACCTCATATCCCACTCCTTATACAATATTTAAAGAAGCTCAAAAAACATAGAAATAATTTGCAAAAGCTAAAAGTATATGGTCCAAAACAAACAATATGTGAAGAAGGATAATTGTCCAATTAAAGAATTGAAATGGATCAATCTTATCTACATCCACAATGGAAAACCTCCAATTAGAGCAACAAGTGTGCAATCATTAGTCATTAAATAAGACAATGATTATAAGATAATAAATTAATGTAACTCATATCGTAGTGCTAAATATTCAAAAGAATATATCTTTTTTTTTTTATAGATAATTTTAAAATAGTAAATAAATAATATACTAGGATCTAAGAAACATATGTATATATATATAGTAATTATCAATAATCATTGTACTAAAAAAAATGAACTTGAATTTTTTTAATTAAACTTCTATAAATGTGTCTATATATATATATATATATATATATATACACACACATACATATATGAACTTATCTAGTATATAGTGATTATAAAATAATTGTATAAGCTTAAAAAAATATACTATATAAAAATGGCTTTATCTTAATATTTTATAATATTCTTATTTAAATCCCAATTACTTTACAAGATGAATAATAAGTATTTTTTAGAAATTATAGATTTATAAAGAATATTAAGTACTAAGTTAGCAAAAAAATTAAGGATAATTAGAATTAAAATTATTTGATATTGATTCTTGACTCTCGTTACAAATAGATTTTTTGTTCTTGAAATTTAGCAATTAAATTAGATTTTTTTTTAAAAAAAATATTTTGAAAACATATATGATGAAAACTTAAAAAAACCTATTTACAATATAAGTTTTAAAATATATTAATATATAATTTTTAATTATATTTTTTAAATAAATATCAATTGTATATTTATTATTACATATGTTGAATTATATTTTGATACTTTAATTTTAATCTCTAAATATATTAATTATAATATTAAATACATATTAGTAGTATTAATATGCGTATAGAAAAATATTTTAATATTTGATTTTTATTTATAATTTTCTATTTTAATATTATTTAATTATTTAATAATTTATTATTATTTTAAATCAAGAATTTCATCAATTTATTTAATTGTATTATAAAATAGTTTATAACATTTGTCTTGACTGGATATTTATATTTATATAATTAAAAATAAGTAATTAATAGAAGTGAATATTTATTATTATTATTTTTTAAATAATCATTTTTTATACGTAATTTCTCTTGGTTTCTTAAAAATATTTATTTTTTAGAAGAATATAAGATTTCATTTTTTTTAATTTGGTGTTTAAATTAAATGCACATGAAATATCTTGTAAATTTTTTAATATTATAAAATATATCCAAATGTTATAAACAAGGCTAAATATAATTTTGAATCTTATTTGTTTTTTTAACTTAAAATTAGTAAATAATAGGTATTTTGTATTTAAAAATAAAAATTTTACCGCATTATTTTGATATATATTAGTAATTCAATTTGCAACTTCTAATAAAGTAATATATCTTTTATTATATTTTATATGATTTTAGGTAGCAATATTTTATTTTATTTTAAAATATAATTTTGGTACAATTGTTTTTAATTGTAATAGTGATTCATTAAAATTAGACTATTTTATGCTAATTATTGCAAATAGATCTTTTTTTACACACATTCATATTTTTTTTATAAGCCCATTCTTATTAAATAAGGTTATTTTATTTTTAAATTATATCCAAATCTATTAAAATTTATTATTTGGATTTAATTTATGTAGAGAATTTAAAATGTGATAGTAGTAAAAAATTCAATTACAATCAATCTCTTAATTGTGCCTTATATTTTTATAGAGTTGTTTAAAAGATATATGAAATCTTCCAGAACTAAGTTTATCTTGATAATCCTATTCTAATTTACTAAGCATTTTTTATTCTTGATTTTTTCAACCAAATACTAAAAGATTAATGACTTTATTTCTTTAAAACAAAAAGGTCATTGAAACAAATAGAGTATCTTGTTATGGTATTGATTTTAGTTACTATATGAATTATAAATTAGTTTTATAATTTAACAATCAGATATATATATATATATTATTTATTTATTTATTTATTTATTTATTTCTAAATTTGATAAAATTCTACTTTGGTATCTTAGTATCTTAGATAATAATGGCATCTTAATACATAATAACTATTATGAATATATTATTTTAAAAAATCCTTATAAACAAAATTAAAAAGTTTTTTTTTGTAAATCAAATTTATCATTTAAGAAATAAGATCCACAATTTTTTTAAAAAAATGAATGCCATTAAAAATAGTCACTAAATTATACAAACACACAATCTTTGTGCATAACAACAATTGTACTACCCCTCTTACAACATAATATCTATGTGAGTGAAGCATTTTAGACCTTGACAATTCAATATCAAAACAAGTTCACTAGCTTACAATCTCAAAATTGTTAATATTGATTCACTCCTTGTCTAATCCATGAACTATTATGGATTTTTATATTATGGCATCCCAACATATTTTCACCCCTATTCCAAAAATACCAATTACAAATTCAACCATCCATGCATAGATTTGTCCCACCTCCAAAACAACCCTTTCCCAACTCACACTTTTAACCACAAAATGAAGTGAAAAGTGGGGAACATACCTTTCCCCCCCAACTAAACTACTGAGATTAGGGAGTGTGGGTGGTTGATTTCCTTTTGTCTTGTGGTTTGATTGAGTTTGCTTCCCTTGTCCATTTCCTTTGCAGCCCAGTTAGTTTGAGATTTATTTCCAAACTTACGGGTTCCTGTTACTGTGAATAATTATAAAGCAGAATAAGTATAAGCACAGCGAGTTGCAAATTCATCCTCCCCCCCACCACAGATATCGGCGTTTGTTAAGGCGTCTCAGAAAGGGGAATGGTCGTGGATCCCACGCCTTGCGGTGCCTTTAGGTGGGTGTTGTCTTATACTCTCTCTTACTTACACACAGACAGACACACCCACAGACACAGACACATACACACACCACCACCATTCACTGATCGATCTGCAAGACTAGACACTTCTAGATCACTCAACACCGGCGAGATATCTTCGACTCATTCCAACGAGGTTTAGTCGATTCAGGTTTGTTCGGATTAATGGATCTGCGCTACAGCATGTTTACCTGATCGAAAGCCTGCAGGACGGAGAGTTTGAGAGCCCTGCATTGGCATCGGTATTTTCACCGCATTTGGCATCGAACTAGATTGTCACGGTTGATGATATTGTTGTTGTTGTTTTTTTTTTTTTTTATGAGTTATGTTCGAGCTGGGGTTTGTTTAGATTCTCACCTGAATGGAAGAAAAAAAAGACAAAAAAAGAAAAAAACGATAGGAAGGATCTTACTGAGACTGCTGAATTCCCTGACGGAAGTGAGCAGATGGGCCTTAGAGGCGTCGAAAGTACCGCCTAGTTTGTGGGAGGAGTTCGGGGACTCGGTGCCGGATCGTTGGTACGATTGCGGTAGGTTGAATTAGTTGCGGCATCATTAGGGAGTACTGGGACTGTAGCATGTTCTGAAGAGCTGTGGATGGTTAGGGTGTTGCGGAGCTGAGGGAGGTTGGCGGGGAAGTTAGACTGGTTTATAGAATGAGCGGCAGATTGGGTTTGGAACTTGTGGAGAGGAGACTTAAGTTTGGAGAGTTAGAGGGAAGGACTTGCATTCAGTGATTTGAGAGTTGGGTTTTACACTTTATCACCACACTATTGTTGACAGCTGCTGAAGGGTTCCCTTGATGAGCGAGGGAGCAGCCTTGTAGTGCACATCGCGGCCCTGCAGAAAAAGAAGTGCCGTGAGTTCGTTGTAGACATTTCAGTAGAGCGGGTTGGTGTAAAATTTTCGGATCTGATCCAACCCAGGCTTCAGGTTAAATGTATAGACGCTCACCGTTCATAGAACTTATCATCAATCTAACTTGAGCTGCACGGGTGCTGCACTTCTCCTCCCCGGGCTGCTGTGTTGGTTCTGAAAGGTTGCCTTGATTCAGCCATCCAGAGCTAGCGTCACGGCGAGATATGTGCTCTGAGCAGATTCAACGCATCAACTATACTATTTTTGGCACAACTGAATCGCCCATTTTGCCGTCGCAGCCATTTTCTTACATTCTCGACTACTAGACTTATCAGACCTTGAGATAGTGGTTTGTTTACACCTATCCACATTAGCAAGGGTGGCTCTTCGCACGAACTCAAACCTGCAGGTGTTTACGAAGCTCGATAAAAGAAACGGAGACTAGATTGGGGGAGACGTTTCGAGAAGGTGAATCTTGTTTCACCGCCAAGAATACCGAAGTCTAAAGGATCCCGACTCTTGTCGAAGATGCACATAGATTGTCTGATCTTCATCTGAATTCTGGATCGGATCACTTTGGAGTTTGATTCCAGGGCTGGACTTCCACCATCCTTCAAGTTGTAGATAGGTCTATCTGCAACCCCAATAGTTTCAGAGTCCCGTCCGACAGTGCTAATCTGATCGAGTGCAAGTGGACTGGCTCGCACAATCTGATACCTTTTAATTCACTCTTCATTTCACTGACTCTGACCACGACTTAGCCGCGTCATCAGAATGGACACCAACCAACAGGGATTGCCGTCTCTGAACCATCTTCTCCAGCATGCGCTTCGCAGGTTATGCACCGAATCGGAATGGGTTTATGCTGTCTTCTGGCGCATTCTGCCGCGCAATTACCCTCCCCCACAGTGCGTTCCTCCCACTAACCTCCTCACAACTCCTCAGTTGGATTTTATCAAGTGAGCCATCTCATGTGTAGTATAGCCTTTACCAGCTCCAACCGTGTCCTGCAGTAAGTTTATAGTGGTTAATTCTACCCAAATGAAGTCAGTACTCAATGCTTCGATATCTGTCTCACTTTTATTCTCTTTTCATCACTTACGAATGCTTCTAGCTCTTCTGATACTATCCATTCAATTCCGTCTTTGTTTGCCATCTTCATTGTCCAAGTGCAAGATTGGAATCTCAAATTTCGATTTTCACTGCCATACTACTTGTGGCTGACTTGACTTGGATATGAAAAGAACCCCGAGCTGCGAATCATGTATCAGTAGATTTCGTTGATTGCGTAAGAATAATGCTTTTTCGCAAGCACGATGCATTCCCACGCTTGCATTTGAATTTGATTCTCATTCGAAGTGTACTCTCCCTGTACAAGTCTTTTCCTCGATCCTAGTTCCTGAGTATGCTGAGAAACACCTTGCTAATGGAATTAAACGTGTGTTTTAGGTGGGACACAGAAGTCGACATGATGGACCGATCGAAGAGCAACAAGCGTAACTGGTTAGTTCCCTGTGCACATTGTGCGACTGTTATCCTATGAAAAATAATTTGCTCTAGCTGATGATCATTTCTGATTGCTAGTCTCGGAGCCTCATTTGTATGGAAGAGAGACGAGGCGTGTTAAAAAGAGAGTTTGAAATTTATCGGATGCACTCTGGACCGGACAACGAAATTACTAATCTGTCTTGCATTGACATGACGTGCAGGATTTTGGTATGGGAAGGTGGGTTTTGCAACTTCTCTGCCTGCGCCACTGGCTTAGGGAATGATGGCAGACCAGGATCCTTGTGCTTTCAAGGTCGGCAGCAGCCACAAGGTAGTGACGAACCTTGTGAAGCCATGAGTCCTGAGCTTTTCTTCAAAATGTCCCACGAAGTTTACAACTATGGAGAAGGGTACTGCCTTCTATTCCTTCATCATACAATCCACGCTCTGGAAACGTTCTCATGACGCTTGACGTTTGCGCTTCGCTACACACGACTTCTGTAGCTTTTAAGTTACATCATCTGTGGATTCCTTCGTCTGTGCGAAACTCCGAGTATTAAGTGATTCGTGGATAATGACGTTTGACAGTTTGTTGGGAAAAGTAGCTGCTGATAACGGGCACAAGTGGGTGTATCGAGAACCTGTAGAGTACGATATTAGTTTTCTCTCTCCATGGCACGGCTCCCTGGAACCTGTAAGTTTCTCTTCTTTTTCACCTTCCCTTTTCCAATTCAAAAATTAAAATGCTCCCTGCAATCTTGTTGTGACAACAGTGTGTGGAAAAGCTCTGTTAAGTTGCATATCTCGCCTATCCTGGCTTTGGCCTCCGCCACATATCTATGCAGTGGGTTCAGGACCCTGGCATGCTCTGCTTAAGGATACTGATCTAGGGTGTGCTTGAAGTTTTCTTTTTGGCTGATATGCAAGGGCTTGGTACGTGCAGCATCCATGCACATGGGAAGCACAGTTCAAGTCGGGAATTCAGACCATTGCAGTGATGGCAGTACAGGAAGGCGTTATTCAGCTAGGATCCACGAAGAGGGTGCTTCCTTCTCCCACACTTATGTTTTTAATAAACTTTTCCAAGGACCTGTTTCTGCTACGGTTACCCGAAGTGGAACACATTTATCTATGTGGATGATGATAACTCGAGCGACCAGATGAGTATAGGACTGCAACACAGGCACCCTGGCGAGCATCATTGAACAATGTTCTTAGTCAGACATTTTACGAGTTTAAGTAGCAGAGTGTGAGAGTATTCCAACCATGAATGATGGCGTTTGTCCAAGTTGTGATGGTTTGCTGGTGGATTGATTGTGCAACAGATAGTGGAGGAGTTGAACTTCATACTCCACTTGCAAAGGAGATTCAATTACCTGCAATCCATCCCCGGTGTGTTAGTCCCTCACCCTTTTTCGTGCGCAAGCAGGAAGAGGTTGATCGGCAATGGTCCTCCGCCCGCTGGCCGTGGCCACAGGATGGCAATCCCAGATTACGACAAGCCCACGTCAAATCTCAACTTGCCAGTACGCTCAGTCGACCAGTTCATGTCGTCACGTATCGGCCCGCAGCTGTGGCGGTCGTCCAGCGACACCACTGTCCTTGGATTGAAGCGGCCGCTTGATTCAGACCCATTACCGTTATGTACGGATCATCCCTACATGAATACCGGCGAGGGATTCCACCATCAGCGAGAAAGCCCGTCTCCTATGAAGTCTTTGAACACCGGACTCACAAGTGCGCAGGGTGGGGCGAGTCCTACCATTCCAAACCTGCTTTCATCCATGTCAAGCCTGCAAGCGCTGTTGTCGAAGTTGCCAAGCGTGAAGCCAACGGAGATGGACAGCAACAACTGCACCAGCGTTGTCACGGCAACTAGCAGCGGCTTCGATGCCACTGCAGGAATAAGCGGCCGACCTCCTGTCAGCCGCTCAGTCGTTAACAAAATGGCCAAGGAAAGGGCCGCTTCTTCGAAAGAGACCGCTGCAGCTGAGAACGGTTACGTGCCTGGGGACTCGCAAACGCACCTGAACCCGGCGTCTAAGACGAAAGCCGAGCCAGTGCAAGATCAGAACATCGACATCGCTGGTGCGGCAACAACATCGACAAGCTCCCCGAGCTCAGGAAACTCGGATGTGGTCTCGGCTGAGCACGCGTCGGACGTTGACACCGAGGTACATCAGACCGGGACTTCTGAATGCAAATCTGACAGCCAGAAGGCTTTCTGCAGCTCGACGTTCCTGGACACTTTCGATAACCTCGCGGACTTCGGCACCCTTGCTGAGGCCGGAGACTCTTATAACTTATTCTTGAGTGAGATGTACAGCGGATGATTTCAACTACACAGATTAATCAATTCCTGGCCATCCAGTTTCACGATCCGCACAATCTGTCCTAGGGTGCAACTGATCCAAGTGATAGCATCTCATACCGATATCGAGCCTGCATTTTTCTTTTACATTACGAGTTACCCCCGAGTGCTTGGATTTGCTTACTTTCGTCTATTAAGAAAGTACAATCTTATCTGGAGTTGTCAGATTTAAATTAATCCTGGCCGTTCTTACCGTGGTGGTCAACTGAAAGGGAAACGTGATTACTTGTGGTAACCGTTTAATTAATATTACTTAAACCTAGATAATGGGGAGTAATTTATTGTACAGCTTTAGAGGTATTAATGGAACACCATTGACTGCTCTTGCGAACAGATTCATGTACTTCTTAATGTGAAGTGATAACCAATATACAGTTGATTGGGAATTTGTGGAATTGTGCGGATGACCTACAAAGCACACAATAATGATACAACTCATTAGTATCAACATTTTGCACTTCTCTCTAAGCCTCGACTCTCGTTGATGTATCATACACGTGCAAGAATTCCCCCGAGAAAAAATTCGCTAGAACTGCCGAATGAGGAGCAGTACTAAATTCCGATCATCATTGCGCTACCGCTCAAGAACCATATCACACTTATGTCAGGATGGTGAAAAATTCCTTGTCCTGTATGTCTAATCTAGACTCGAGTGGAGACAACAATGTTTAGACAAGCCCTGGTTAAAGATGCAACTCAGAGTCTGCAAGTAGCTCTGTGCTGGAGGCATATCTTGCTTGTGTTGAGCATCAAGCAATAGCTACGAGCAACTCTGAGGTTCCTATCAATCTGAGCTCATGGCTGATCTTTCCAGCACTGTCCAAGTTCTCGCAAAACCTTTTCATAACATATCAATAAATTCTTGGTAAATTGCATTCCAACTATGAAAATATAAGCGCCTCATTCTGAATCAAAAAATTGACACAATTTTCACTGTTTATTCAATTTACAGGGACTCACTTTGTACATTGCTTTTCGTGCAAGACGGATTCCTCTATTTGGTCTCAGCATTCCTAAAACGATCCCTCAACATTTCACATGTTGAACAAGTTTTTACCAGCATGAATAGACTACAAGAGTACACGAAAATATCAGAATTTCATCTCGACATGAAGAGGATGAGACAGTCACTCAAGTTGAACGAACATGTCCAATTCAAACTTAGAAGCACCAGGATATCACAGAGTAAAGCCACAACTTAGCTGCTGTAGTCATAATCTCGTAGTCACAGAATCTCCTCCACAAGCTGAGTTCTCCCAGGATGTTAAACTGAAAGTGGAGTCATTCTATCCTTCAACCAGCTCTTCTAATATTCAAGAATGTCCTTGATGCTCCACCAAGGCATACTTTGATTGCCAACTCCACAAGGTAAGAAAGCCACTTCTGTTTGCCTGTGACATCTCCTTCATGTGAACAGTCCCTGTGACAGCACGTCTCTTACACTTAAGTTCATGTGCTTCCCAGCATAAGTTTCGTAAACTGGAAGTCCATCAAAGTCCACCTCCTCCATCAGCAAGGATGCTTCTCCCAACGGGTGTGCAGGTAAGACATCCACGGCACCGTTCACCGCGTTGTAGGTTATCACCTTCCCTGACACATTCGATACCAAGATGATAGAGCTGCAAAGGCCGTTCGAATCAACACATGGGATTCCATACGCAATGTCCACAGGTTCCTCATCGAAGTAACTCTGAAGGTGAGCGGATGTAATTTGCAGCACTCTCTTACTTGCGTTCCAGTCGACCAGAACCTCGTTCACCTCAAATGATGAGCTGGAGCCCCGCTCACGACTGCGGATGAACGACCACACCAACAGAAACAACCGGTTGTCTCTCACCACGAGTTGTGGGTTTGATGGCTTATCAGGGAATCTCACGCTAATTTCTCTCCACATATCCTCTTGCATGTTGTAGCTCAGAACCACGTATTTGTTCCAAGCATCCGTTTGGAAAATCATGTACAAAGCCTCCCGGAAGTAGACGGCGGACAGTGCAGCTGAAACCCCAAGCCTCTCTGGAGCGTTTCTTAGCCCACGCCATTTGTTTGTGGCTGATTCATACACAAATATTCGCGTGTCTGCCCTCGCGCGGTTGTTTACAAAGAATACTCTGTAGGTGCGAGCAACGCTGTCTACAGCCATAACGATAATGGGTAGGGCCTCGTCGGCAGGGCAAGAGAGAGCGGGGAGGTGGTTGCTCATCTGCGCAATTGGGTCGGAGACGACTAAAACAGTTAATGTATCGTACTTTCTGATCAAATCACAGACGAGACCGTCGTCCATAGCCACGATTCGGGTGTCGTAAACGACAGGAGGCACGTCATCTTCTAAGTCATCGTAGAGCCCACGATGCTCGTCGGCCTTGATGGAATACCACCGCCTCGCATCCAGGTCAAGAAAGCACATCGTTCGAATGAAAGTAGGGTCAACATAGCACCAATCGCTGTAAATGAGATATCGCGTGACGAACAAGTAGGTCTCTTTTCTACCATTGAGATCGCATAGGTCATGAAAGCTTGGCTTTGAAATAAGCACGTTCCATCTTCTACACACGCATCGAAATCTGCACAGAACGGGCACTGGCAAGAAAGACAGCACACGATCGATAATCTCGAGCGGAAGACGACTCCACAGCCCCTCCGTCAAAATCATGGTTACCTACACCCTGCACCACTCCAAGGGAATAATGTCCCAATGTAATTGTCAAGAGGTAGCTATGTCTCCGCTCTCTCTTCCGATGGGCAAATACCTCAGTATCGAAGCTCCCAAAATTCACGGACAATTCATATCCAGCAAGAGGAATGATTACAATCACCGAAATAAACGTCGCCCCGACACAAACACTAGCCCTTGCGATGCTCGCTGGCACTACCTCTCAAACAACGAACTCATTAAAAACAGAAATACACGAAGGCAAAAATAAGAAAATAAGAAAGAAAAGAGGTGGTACCTCACAATCAATCCTTAGACTTGCAGGGGACGACTAACCCAACATGAATTGCCAACAAGACTACCCCAACAATGCACAGAAGCGAGAAGAACGATCTTCTAGGACAATTCGCTAGGAATTGAATGCGAATTGGAGAGACATCGCTGGGTATGCTCTTTTGCTTGCACACCACGCCATCCGTACCAAAGGTGTAAAGCAGTATGATAGCGACTCGCTCATTAACGAGCTCCAAAGACCTTGACGGAAATTGTGGGTTCAAATTTTTGAACCTCGAAGACAATCATATTGCAGAGGCTCTTCCACCACATGAGTCGCAATCAATTCAAACAGAGCGACGTTAACATCAAGCGTAGATAACGCTCCATAATTTGTGAAGTATTTGTCTCCTTGACTGTTTGACGTCAATGTTGCCATAAAGTACGTGGAATTTTGAAACGCAGGGGAGAATTGCTGCTTTACTTCTCGATGTTGGTTCAACCCTTCGATGGACTCTAAATTATCACGGTTGGAATTACAGCCATGATAGTCATTGTTTGTGGGGCACAACCGCACGTACTTTGAGACTGAAACTCTTGTAGGTGGCGATGCACACAACTGTTTCTGAAGAGCGGTGCAGGTTAACCTCGCTATCACCATCGAAGTCGTCAATACTCGAAAGCAAGCGCGCGCATCAGCCCTACCTCACGATCGTAAAACTCCCAAACCCCACTGTACAATGACGAAAAACATGTCACTCTCCCATCGCATACTGCCCAACACACGAATCCCTGCAACTGCTGGACTAGAAATTGGCACAAATCAAAAACCAAGCAAGCTTGACATGATGCACGCTCCCCTCCCCATGTCACTCACCTCCACACGAAATCATGCACTCTTCTTCTGCGATATGATCGTCGGCATGGGTGAGTAAGTGTGTGTGCGCTGGCCAATTCCTTCCTCCCACAGTAACCATTCCAGCAACAAACTCATCTACGGTATTTCCAAAAACCCACAAAAACCCAAATGTCATCAAAATTCACTCGCTCACTCCCAATTCGTCAAGTGTTGCAGGAAATCTAGCTTTTCGCTTCAGAGATATCCCAGGAGGAGGCAAACCCTGCACCGCCCCTCCATTGTATACACGGCAAACAGGCGATTGCGACGTCAAGTAACGACATGGGTACTTGCAATCCACGACCTGAGTCCCAGTTACACTGTCAGCACGTCACGTTCCCACTACGCCATGCGATGCGACAGCTGCAAAAGCTGCAGCCAACACACAACTCTTGGACAATTTTGAGCAGGGAGCTGGCGCCGCCGCCGCCGCCGCCCATCAACATGGTTTCGATGTCGTGCCGTGACGTGACGCGCCATGCCGTGACGCACCGTCGCGTCCATTTCTGAATGTCAACTCTTATTGCAGGAAAATAGGCTTCACAGCTACCTCCAAAATATTAATGAATATTTTCGTCAATATTTTTACATTAACATCTGAAAAATGATTTGGTATTCGTTGATGCTGAGATAATAATTGATTTTAAAAATTAACATATTAGTTATTACTAATGTATGATTATATGTATGTGTGATTACATATATGAAGCAACAACATTAGCAAAATATCTTGTTTTTTTCTACTTTTTATACTATGGATTATTTATCCGTACATTTTTTAAGTGACTCTATTACAAATTATGTCAACCACTTTGATTATAGCTTTCCAACCTTGCCACTTTCTTTATTGTCAAAATAAAATAAAATAAACCTTGATATATATTAAATAAAATTATATATATATATATATTTAAATTTTATAAATAAAAATAATAAAAATTCTAAAATATGCATAGAATATTTCTTTAATACCAAATAAATAAATAAATAAAATCAAAGTAGTAATATAAAACCAAAGACTCATCATTTGTATAAGCATATTATAAATTATTAAGTACTCTTTTTTTACTTCTACTTCTACTTTAGATTAGAGAAATGTTTATAAAATCCAATAATTTTTTTTTTAAATAAAATTTAACTTAGTTATGTGGTACAAAAAAAAAACTACAAATATGTTCAGGTAGGAGAAATATTTACCATAATTTTGGTACAATTGCAACTTATCTATTTGGTACTTGTAAAATCTATTATCAATGATTTTTGGTCTTATCCTAGTGCACAAAGGACCTGTAATTAGTGCTCTTTGTTTCTTTAACTAGTTTTGTCTTAAATATTTATTTACAATCACATTTTTTTTGTAAATAAACTATACCTCAAACAAACCATCTTTGATAAAAAATTCTTTCAAAAGTTCAAAACTCTAAAGAAAACACAATCTCTTATTTACAATAACTACTTTTGGATCCTGATCTTTACAAGTAATGATGTAGACTTTTACAATTTAACTTGATTATCAGAGAAAGTTATTCCTAGAATGTATTTTATTATATTGAAGTGCACCAAAAGAGGAAGATAAGTATAAGAATGTTTTATAGGAAATTGGTTAGATCAATGATTCACTTAAGAATTTGGATGCAATTGACAAAGTTTAAATTTGAAGATATAAGTTGAGTTTTTAAAATGGACAGATTTCAATTTAGATATTATGGATTCAAATATCCATTTGTTTTACATTTTCTTCTAAATCCCAAATCCCGTAGCTTTTAAAGAAGACAAAAACCAATTGATGTTTTAAAAAAGACATATAAACAAGACATAGGCCCTTACATCACTAAACAACTCCAGTCTACCATAAAGATCTTGCCATATATCCTTCCAAAAACAGTAAAAGAAAAACACTTCTATCCCATGAGAGAGTTGCACTCGCTAATAACTGTATACCCAAAAACCCTGACCTAAATTTTAAACCCTTTACAATTCATTCTCAGCCTCTGCCTTCTCCTCTTAAAAAGAAAAAAGAAAATAACATAGTATAAAAGTGTACTACCTCAAAACTCAAGAAAAAGATAATCAAATGCTCCAAAAAACACTGCAATCTTAGACACAAGCAACCATAAATTAGTGCCACAGGCCTCCGACAACCGACCTAGACCCACAGGCCAGCATGATTCCTAGTTGACCTAAATAACTCATCACTTCAAATTATAACCAAATTATAGCATCCCATTTTCAATTTTACATTTTATATTATTATATCATCATCTCGGAAGGGTAAATATCTTCATCGCTTTTGGAAAATAAAAAACAAACAAACAAATTTTCTTTTGTAAAAGTGGAGGCCCCACGCAGACTTTCAGATCCATCAGGAAGTTTATAAATCAGGGTTCGGAATACCGACAAGCAGGAAGATGTATCACAAATATCTTTAATCGTATCCTCGAATCAGAAATCGAAGCTATTTTTCGGTATGTGTCGCTTCCAAGGTGCGAGTTCTAGCTTCTCGCCAAGTGTGATCTTAGTCGAGGTCGAACATTCCTGCTTCATTTTATACTGTTTTGTTTATTTTTTAATATCTAGAACTTGTCTGCTTGGATAGTTCTTTTGGAAGCGTTCAAAAGGGGCGAGGCTCTTTTCATGTGTTCCAATTCCGAATTTGTGATCCCTTTTCTGTGTGCGTTTGTGAGCAACCCATCGATCTTTGCTGATGTTTACCAAGCTTTCGGAGGCATAGAACTGGGTTTAATTCTTAAGTGGCAGGCATGATGCTGTTTTGGTGAAACAGTTTGCCGCAAACTGTTGTGCAGCGTTGTTTCTGTTTCGTGGAGGGTGGTTATTTTTTCGTGTGTTGTAGACGGTTTTGATCTTTCTTCGCATCATGCCTCGCCTGGACCGTGTCGGGGCAGCGCTCTGGGCGGTTGGGAGCTCTGCCGTCGAAACTTACAGAACCCGATCCGTGGGTGCCGAGGTGAGTCGGGATGGTATTGCAGTTGGCACCTCGGCGGATGGGAGATCAGGGAGGAAATTGCCCGGTGAGCAGACTGAGCTTCACGAGGTTCTCTCTTCTCTCATCCAAGGAGTATATGCGACTGACCGTGGCTTAAAAGACGCTCATCTCTTCTACGAGGCCTTAGGGTATGAGCAGGAAACCTTGGAAGACGAGCACCCTGACGACGATATTGCCAAAGTTGGTAACCCGAGTTGCAAGATCCGACTCATGGTCTTCCGGCGACGAGACCTAGCACAGCTCCAAGACCAGGCGGGTGCTGCTCATAACGACACTGTCGAATCCAAAGTTTCGTTGAAAATGGCTCGTGAAAGCGAAGCCCAAGCTTGTCATTCAAACTCAACGCCGAAAGCAGAGTTTTTGCCAAAGTATGTGGTGGCGATCCGCGGCACTCGGAAGTACTGCCAACGAGACATCAAAGCCGACCTCCAGATCATGTTGGAGACGTTGCACCACAACACTCTGTATGACATCGTGAAGAGCATGACCAGGCGCGTCGTGGAGAAGCACCCCCACGACAGCGTTTGGGTGGCAGGTCACTCGCTAGGCGCCGCAATCGGGCTCATCGTCACTCGGGAGCTCGCGCTCGAAAACATGCCCGTCGAGACTCATCTCTTCAATCCTCCGTTCCTGTCCTTGGAAACTCTACTTGAAAAGGCTACTCTCCTCGCATCTAAGGGCCTCAACAAGCTAAACCGGGCCTTCAAAGCAGGCACCGAGGGGATGCCAGCCAACCTGCAGTCAGCGCATGACTATGCACGCTCGAGCCGCATCATGAAGCTCGCGAGGGAGAAGAAGGCGAAACTAGACGCGAAGTACCTCGAAACCATGACACCCGACTTCATCAAGCTGGAGAAATGGTCACCGCACTTGTACGTGAACCCGTATGATCCCATCTGTAATGGCTACATCCACTACTTCCGCAAACAAAACCTATTCTATGGCGGTTTAGAAACACAAGCCATATCTCTCACTTCCGGAACGTTGCGGAGGTTCTTTACCTTGGACTCCCACTCCTATCACTTGATCCCTTCGGCGATTCTCCACATCAATCACCGAGGAGACACAAACGTGCTAGAGTCCCATCCGCTTCACCAGTGGCACGAGTATCCAACCATCAATCTACAGCACGAGAAGCACGATCTCCTGGACGAATTAGCATCCGAGGATCACGATCACGGTAATATAGCATCTCACATCGATGAACTCCGCGTTACAACCACAGTTTCATCAACTGTACAGACTCCAATCCTCGTTCCCGATTGACGAGTCACCCTGCAGCTCGGCGAATGAATATTGCACAAATATTTGTGTAAATACGTAGCCACACATGCTGATCCTTACAAGCCAGATTCCTAAAGATGCACACTTGGACTGTGTATTCCAGTCTGCGCACTAGGTCAAGCCCAGCAAGCACCAGTTTGTGGTATTGGGAGAATTATTCCGTATAGTACACTAGTCTCTTACATAGAATACAATCTACTAAATATTGACCTTAAACGAACAGTTGTGACTCTTGGTGTCTTGGTGTCACTCATGTGCGCACAATATACTGTATAACATTGATCATATATTAATACATATAATGTTTCCAACATGGTATCAAAGCTATAGAAATATTTGATCCCTAAAAACTATACGAGGAGATGACTGTTTCAATCTAAAAAAGAATTGTTGAAATTACAATTTCAACAATGATAACAATAAACAATGATAAAAATAATGATAAATAATGATAACAATAAAATAATCCATTGTAATAGGAAAGATTGATGAAGAGCTTGAAGTTCTTCAAACCATGAAAAGCATTTTTAAACTTGAAAATGACAACAAACAAACCATAAATAAAGATAAAATTGAATTGATGAAGAATAAATTTATAAATAATTTCAATTCAATTTCAAATTAAGAATATTAAAGATGACACAAAAAGTGGACATTAATCATGTTCCAAAATTTGATGGTTCATATTTTAATATATGAAAACATAGAATAATATTAGTTTTCAAGACTAAAAAGTTATGGTCCATAGTAAAAGGTGAAGAATATTTAGTAGTAGAAGCAATGGTAGTTGAAATTGCTACCAAAATCTCAACTTTACTTGCCATAGCAGTAGGAAGTATATGCATATGGGTAGACATGACTAATAATTTAGTCATATATGTAGGTAAGTAATTTTAGAATAACAACAAGAAATCTTATATTAATAAAAAAAATTAGAAGGAATTCATAAGAAGAGAGTAATACCTCCAAGGTACATGAAAAGAGTAATTTTTCTATTAATAAAAAGTATTTTTTTAATAAGAAATTATATCACTTGATCAAAGATTAAAAAATAAAAATAGCGACTAAAAATTATAATAATAAAAAAGAAACAAATATTGTTATAAAATTAAATAATTTATATATAGCAATACTTATAATTTTAAAAAATAATAATTCAATAAGGCATGTAGACTCAAGAGCAACTCAACATATATATCATGACTTAAAAGGATTTCTCAAATATATCAAAAATAAAGACAAAGAAGTTATTTACTTAAGAGATGATATTATATCATACATAATGAAAGGACATGGTGATATAAATATCAAACTTACAAATAGCAATGAAAAGATTGTATCTAATATATTATATATACCAATACTCACAAAGAATTTGTTCTTTATCAGACAATTAAATAAGACAAGAGGAGAAATTTTCATAAGAGCTGGAGAAACTACACTAAAAAATAAATTCAGTCAAACCATTGCAATAAGAAAATTAAATTCTAATTTATATGAATCATATACAACAATCCTTTTAATTAAGCCTCAAATTGCTATTCCAACAATAATACAATTTAACAAAGCTGATTTATAGTATGTGAGACTATGATACATAAATTTATAAAGATTCAAACAAATATAAACAATAGCAAAGAAGATTGACCTCTTTGATGAAAATAAAATTATCTTATATCAACCTTGCATAGAAGATAAACAATATAATGAAAAATTTCCTACATAAGATGCACAATAAGCTATCTAATTATTAGAACTTGTACATTTTGACATTTGTGGTCTTATCTAAATAGGTACACATTCAAGATGTATTCACTTTATCACATTTATTGATGATCTAATAAGATATTGTCATGTGTATTTGATGAAATACAAATCTAAAGAATTTGAAAATTTTACCTTATATAAAAAATTTGTGGAAAAACAAAAAAGTTTCAAAATCAAAACCTTAAGATCTAATCATGGAGGTGAATATAAATCAATTAAATTTAAAGATTTAAGTAAGAAAAAAAATAATATAATTTAAATATTCCAATAAATTGGTATTTTTGAAAAAATAAAATAAATAAATAAAACACTATTAGGAGTAATTCTTGCAATACTATCATATTTAAACTTACTTAAATTATTTTTGAGGTAATCACTCCAAAAAACCAATTACCTTCAAAATAGGAACCTTATAAAATCTATACAAGATATTAAAATAACATTTGAATTATGGTATAAAACACAACCAAATTTATCCTACCTTAAAATATTCGATTACAAAGCTCATGTATTCATTCCTAAAGAAACAAGAAAGAAGTTAGACTCTCATTCATAGGAGGCTACCTTTTTATGCTATAGTAAAGAATCTTAAGTCTAGAGACTTATGAATATACAAAATCAGTAAAATTTTATTTCAAGAAATATTCTCTTCAATGAGAATTTACATGATCAAAAAGCAATAATATACTTGCAAAAAGACAATGAAGAGTTCTTAATAGATCTAAAATTATTTAAGAACCCTTCAAAAACTATAAGGTCTAATGAAAAAAACATATCTCACATTCAAAGAATGTCTTTACCATCGATGCTACTACCAAAGCTACCACCACAAGAAACTTATATATTTGATCATCAACAAATACATAATACTTCTCAAAATGTGAGAGAACTATCTCCTTCTTATATTGATGTTATTGAAGCCTTCTCTCAATTATCATTATCAAATGATTAAGCAATCTTACTTCTTGACATGATGAAGTCTTTTTTACATTAGAAGATCCAAGTCTTTCTTTTAGTTCTTGACCAAGAAGAATTATTAAACCAACTATAAGATTGTTAAAGTCTATATAAGAAAGAAAAGAATATAAATGCCATTCTAATCGACCTCTTCAAGCCCACCTTATTTCTACCAATATAGAAGCTCCAATCTCCATTCAAGAAGTAATGAAAAGGGCTCATGGTTAAGAATGGCAAAAGGCAATCAATGCTGAAATTATAACTTCAAATAAAAACAATACATGGAAAATGACGAATTTTCCTCATAATAAAAAATCAATCAATTTAAAATGGAATTTTAAAATAAAAACTAAAGCTAATGGAAGTATTAATAAGTATAAAAGAAGGCTAGTTGCAAGAGGTTTCATCCAAGTTTAAGGTATTTATAACACAAAGATATATTCTTCCATGGTCATACTTAATTCTATTAAAATTATTCTTACCTTGGATATTCAATATAAACTAAAAATATATAAGTTAGATGTTAAAATATTATTTTAAAATAATTATGTTAATAAAATATATCAATATGATTATTCCAAAAGAATTATCTTATACACATTCTAATAAGGTATCACAAATATACATAGGTATTCTAATAAATATATATATGATAGGGTAGAAATAGATAAAAGTAGATAAAAGTAGGTTAATTTCATAATACCTTCTAGGGAAGCTTCTTAAAGCTTCATAGACAATGATTTGACTTTATATGTATTTATAGTTGATTGATTGGTTAGAAACTTGGTCAATAAGTTAACCACGTGTTGATAGCTTGCAAAAAAAAGTTAATTGTATAGTGCACATATAAAAAACTTGCCTTACAAATTAAGATATGTATCTTACAAAATCAACATATTTTGGAGATCTTATACGACATTGCCATGTAACTCCTAATTAAGAGTATATATAGAGGCAAGAGTGAAGCCTTCTTCACTCTTCTCAATGCCTTTCTAGTCCTTAGTCTTATTTCAAGACTTTTTAGTCTTCTTATTTTTAGCAATAGCCATTATAGTTCAATATTATATCATCTTTGAGGTACTTTGAAGTTCCTCTCAATGACATAAGAGTGTATTAAAGATTTTTTTCCTTCAAGATTCATGTCCTTGATAATTTGATAAAAGTTCTAACTTATTATTTTTGTCTTGTTTTAAAGGTGAGTAGATTATTCTATTTTTATTCTTGTATTTTGAAGGTTGTAGATTTCTTACCCTTAAATAAAAAAAAACTTATTTTCTAACATTAATCTTTTTTTTTGAAGAAAGTAGATTATTTCTCTTTGTAGAAATTTTCATTTTATATTAGAGATTGCAAATTATCATCTTCTAATTTAACTTTTTGAATTTGCTTGAATTATTTATGGAAGGAAAGACTATGTATGCTACTCTCAATGGAAGTGAGAATAGATTTGTAACTATTGCAGATCTTCATGAGCTTGTTCATATTCTAAGAGTAGAAATCTCATGAATTATCAAAGTAAATCATGAAAGTACTATGCCTATGCCTATGGAAGAAATTTAGAGTCTGCAGCAAGAAGTTGTATAGTTGAAAATAACAAGTAGATAGACCTCACAACCAAATCTAAAAAGTTTTGCTTCTTTAAGAATAATATAGATAAGGATTAATATACCTGAGAAGTTTGATGGAACATGTAGAATAGATATTACTTTATTTTTGTAAGATATTGGTAAAATAGACTAATAGTCTATAGAATAGTCAGTTCAGGAAGGCAGATGGTTAATTAAGTTATTAAAAGTGATTAATTATAAGTTTATGGTTAGAGTTTGAAAATAGAGAGTAAGTATATAGAAGTTGTAGAAGTTAGTCTCAGGGCCAAACTGTGATAGTTATGAGCCAGGGTAAGCTTGATACTACCTCTTTGTTTCTTTGTTGTTGAAAAGTAATCGATAGTTTTTGAATATTGAGAAGTGAGTCTGTGGAATAAATCAGAGATTGATTTTTGAGTTATTGATTATGTAATTGGAGTACTGTGTGGTTGAATTATATGAGAAGTTATTAGATGATTGATTATGGATGGATGATTATGATTGTTATTTATTGAGAGTTGTGTATTTCGACAGAGGAAGTTGGTGATTATTGAAATTGTGTGAATCTAAATTGGTTAGAATGAAGTCTGTTAATTCTGGTATTGGATGGAATTTATGTATTTTGAGTGGTCTTTTGAGAGTGCAGAGTTGCACATTATTGTTATCAATTGATGAAGGAGTATTGATATTGAGAAAAAATATTTTAGTGTTTCTTGGTATTTTAGTGATTTGGATTACGGTTAATTGTGTGACCTTAATGCGTAAGCTCATGCGATAGTCTTTCCCTGTGTTCGAATTTCCTTCTATGGATTTATTCTGAAAGGAATTTGTAGAATAAGTAAAACAACAATTATATTTTGGTGCTGCTGTTGAGGATTGACAATAGCATTGAGTATTAGGAATTAACTGCCGCATGAGTAGATAGGAAATAAAAAGCAGAATCAGTAGAATATAATGATAGAATATATTTTTTAAGAGTGAGAACTTAATAGTAAAGAGAATACGGTAGTCAAAAGA